CTTGGCTGGGGAGGGTGTTGCTGGCGCGGGGGTGACCTTGTGCAGATCCAGGAGCGAAGGAGGTGGCCGGCTGGGCTCCTCCAGGGCGGTGAGGGGGCGTTGGGCTCCTTCCGAGAGGTGATGCCACCCGTGGTGCCGGGGGTGTGAACTGTGTCCGAGTCCCTCCTGTCTTCTCTCTGCCGGCTCCAGAGCACCCTGCCTACACGCCCAAGGAGTGCTTCCAGCGCATCAGCCGCCGCCTGCGCTCCACCCTGAAGCGGGGCCGGATCCCCATGGTGAGCTGGGGGCTACTGGGGGGCAGCGGGGCTGGGGCAGGCAGGGCTGCAGCCGCCGGTGCCCCACACGCAGCTTTGTCTGGAGCCGTGTCCTGAGGGCTGTCCCCTGACCTCGCACACGGTCACCGAGCCAGACAAGTGCCGAATTTCAGATGAGCTCCTGGGGAATGCGCTCCGGTTCTCGTGTGACCTCTGCGGTGGGGGCTGGTTACAAACAGACATTCAGCTCCCTGTGCAGATGGGTTTCCCGGGCTCAGTTCAGATTTTTCTGGTAGTTACAGGACACTTTTACGTGGTTGTTTCCCAGTCGCTGCTCGATGAGCGGCAGGTGACGGGGGCAACCCGGCGTGTTTGCCCACAGGGGCAACAGCGGAGCCTTTGGGCTCTTCAGAATGGTTCACACAAAGCTATTTGGAAAAACTCGAGTGCATTTTGACTGCGTAAACTGCTGAGCGGGCAATTAAGCCCAAACGGAGAGGCACAAGCGTGGCCTCGTGCCGCCTGGCCCGGGGAGCCGAGCTGCCGCGCGCAGCCCCTGCGCTGCGCTGCCTGCCCAGACACTTGCTCTCCTGGGCCCCGGGGGTGCCTGGCTCCCCGCTCCCTCTTCTCAATGGTGCTGTTTTCCTGCTCTGTTTGTTTTCCTTGCTCTAATTAGAGTCTCTAAAAGCAGCCTCGGCTCCTCCTGCCCGCTGGCTTCTGCTCAATTTGTTCTCAAATGAGACTCGCTTCTGTTGCTTGTCTCTGGGGTCACGGTGCTCCGGAGAGCTGCATCGAGCTGATCTTTGCCTGTCGGGAGAAAAGGAGATGCGAGGCACGAGGCTTTCCTGGCTGCCGCTGCTCCACGCGTGAGGGACGATGCCAGCCCTTGGCACACACAGTGCGGAGTTGGCAGGGGACGGATTCTTCCCAGCCTCGGGGGCTGGAGAGGGGAGTTGTCTCCTTTCCGGGTGCCTTCCTGCCGTCTCCCATCCAGACGCTTTGCCTGGGAGCTGCTGGCAGGAACTCCGCGGGAGTCGGAGGCCCCGTCGTGCTGGGGCTGTGCGGACGTGGCGGGGAAAAGGTGCTTGTGGTGACAAAGTGCCCGTGGCTCTGCCTGGCCCTGGCTGGGGCGGCAGCTCCTCAAAGGCAAAACGCGGGCGCTGCGAGGGGCGCAGAGCTGTACGGGGCAGGCGGCTTTGCCCCGCGTTGCGGCACGCATGGCGCGCGCTGTCTCCCCTCGCTGGGCTCCATGCTCTCGCCTGCTGTGGCAGGCTCTGAGCAGGGTTCGGCCACCGCTGCCCTCTCCTCGCTGACAGCCTCTGCCTCTCTTGCAGGGGACGCTGGAGGGCCTGGAGGAGGAGCTGCTGGCCTTCTTCTCCGTCACCCCCCACTCCGTCTACACAGCGCTGATGGACAACAGGTATTTCTCCCCCCTCGAGTTCTGCGGAGTGTCGCTGCTCCCCACGGAGCGGAGGTCGGGGTCCCGAGCTGTGTGCGCCCCACGTTCGGGGGTCCCCTCTTCACCACGGTGTTGGCAAACTGCCGTGCATGGCGGCGCTCTGCCTGGGCTCCCTGCGCGCCAGAGCTGCCCCGGGCTGCAGAGGGGCTCTGGGAGCCAAGGGGAGACCCCTCGGCCGGGCTCGGGTCTCCGGCTGCGGACACTCGCCTGGCCCAGCCCCCGCGGAGCCCCCGAGGGAGGGATGCGCTGGGGGTTCCCTGCCCAGGGGCTTGTGGCACTTTGTGCTCCCCATCTCTAGCCCGTGTGAGGAACGAGGGCAGGGCAACACTCGGGAGACGCGGATCTCAGACGTGTCGGCTCTAACCCTCTCCCCCATCTCCCCCAGCTTCGAGCGACTCCTGCTCCATGCGCTCTGCCAGTACATGGACCTCGTCTCTGCCAGTAAGAGCCTCATGTTTGTTTGTTTGGGTTTGTTTTTGTTTTTCCCTTCATCACTATCTCTCCTCTCCAGCGCAGCCTCTTCCTCCCTCCCTCCTCCCGGCCCCACCTCGCACTGCGGCTCACAGATAACCCCGCTCTCCTGCCTCCGCTGCCCCGAGCTCCTCGGGAGCCTCGGCTGTGCTCACGCCGCTTCGCCAGCACTGGTGGCGGGTGGGCAGCATCGGCCGCGGCGGGGGGCTGAAGCCCAGCAGCCAGGGTGATGGCCAGGCCCGGCTCTGCCGAGGATGGGGTTCTCGTTCTCTGCCATTTCTCCTCTTGGTTCTGGGTTTGGGTGGCCCAAAGCAAGAGATCTGCTCCTGGAGCTGCCTCTGCTGCGGCCGCCGCCTCCTCCCGCGGAGGCGGCCGTCCCTGAGCCGTGCCCGCAGGTTTCCCTCGAAGGTCTTGTTGCCAAGGCAGGGGAGGAGAGGCACCGGGCTCTGTCCCTGCGGAGGAGTCTTTGCTGCTGAGCGTTTCATTAGCAGCTGCTGGTGGAAAACAGCGTGAGAGCGCTAATGATGTGGAGCCCATGGTGCCGGTGGGGACACGTGGGGATGGGGGGGACAGTCACCTTTGCCGAGCACGGGAAAACCTGTGCTCACCGCGAGGCGCAGAGGTGGCTGGGCTGGTGAGGCCGTGTTTGGGACCCACGGCGGGGACGGTGGCGCGCTAACTGCTCCCTCTCGCCCCCAGGTTCGGACATCGAAGGGAAACGTCAAATGAAAGTGAGCAACAAACACCGCGTCTTCCTGCCCCCTGAGCTCCTGCTCTCAGACTACCTGGGGCAGATGAGCTGATGCTCCCGGGGGTCGCCCTGCCCCTCGCTTGGTGCGCTGAAGGCTTCCTCCATCGTCTCCCAGACCCACCGTCCCCTGGGCTCCGGCCTGCCGCCTGCCTCCCCCCC